CCCAGGATCCCTTCAAGAAGGTTGGGAGGGGCTGAAGCTCTCCCTCCCTCCCGATCGTGGGGGAGACATTGCTGGCTGTTCCCCTTTGTCAGGGAGTGAGGAGAAAGTGCCGAGTTTGCTGCATTCCTTGCTCCGGCTGGGGGGCACGAACCTGGACCTACCCCAGCTGAGGGACATGCGCCCCTCCCCCCACTCTGCCTGCTGGAGAGGTGCTTCTCACCTGGCCCCAAGCTGCTGCAGTAAGAGAGGGCTGGGGACGGCCTCTCTCCCCGGGGCAGTCTGCACCGTGAACCCCTCCTCCCCTGCCCCACCCCAGAGCCATGGTTGACATGAAGAAAAATAAAAATGAATTGAGTTAAGGACCGGAGCAAGGCGGGGTAAATCTTCTTGTGGTTTTATGGTTCCTGTGATTCAAAACAATGCAACGAGCTTTCCAAGGCCATTTGTAACCACAGAAATTTGATCTTGTATTTGCCAGATTCTGACATTGATGCTTTGGTTATCCTCTAAAGCAGCTGGTGACATCACACTAACTAATGACATCACAGTAGGTTTGCCAGGGAGAGTTGGCAACCCTCTCTCGCAACCTCTAAAGTGGGGCATAACTCGTCAGTCCTTATGTGACCTCTGAGCGTGTTGAGATGCTCTCTGTTTCTGAATGTGACTTGGAACGAAAAGCCTGACAGGTAATTGAAGAGCATTTCCATTTGGAAGTAGATTGCTTTTAGGCTTACAGCAATTTTATTTTCCAACTCTTCATGCATTCATTTAAAAACTTGGGCTCCTAAAGTGTTTTAAAAATCCTTAATCGTTCCCCTTGAACGCCTTCTTAAATCTTGACTGCATCAAAGTAAAAAGGCTTGCTGCAACACAGCAGCCGCACAGACTGGGAGAGGAATTTTATTAAGTTTAGGTGAGTCAGAAAAATAATAATAATAAAACATTTTTTATGAAGTTGGTGAGAAACTTATAAACTAGGTGAAGTTTTACAGCGTATGAAATTGATACAAGTTGTAAATTTGAATTCCCAGACTGGTCCTCGGGTCTTGTTTGTTATTACATGAGGTAACGTTTTCCACTCGTAATGGTTCACTTCAGCAGCACAAATGGGGACGGTTCAGCTTTCCAAATGACCTGCAGTTCGTGTTTTGCAATAAAACGGCCACCTGTCCGTGAGGCCCCATTGATTACTTTGACGAAGAAACACCATGTCTGTTGATTATTGGCAGATACCTGTTGCCTGCTCTGCCTGTGTGTGGGCACAAATGCACTGCCGGGCCAGCCCTCCCGGAAATCCCAGTGGGCCCCATTTGATTCCTTCTACCGGTGTAGGTTGGTTGCTGCTGCTCGCTATGGCTTCCAGCTGGAGGCTCAGGCGCTACTAATAGCTGGGGGGACTGTAAACTTTCAGGGACCATGTCAGAGGGTGGCTGGCTCTGTGATGGGGCAAGGCTTCACCTCCCTCTGCTGGGCTCGGAACAAGGCAGCTCCGGTTCCCGGGGCGTGGTTCACTCCCTGATCAGCTGAGGCAGGTAACAAGGGTAAGGGCTTGGGGAGCCGCGAGAAGGAAGCAGCGCTCAGAGGGAGGGTTGTTCCCGCAGACTGGAGACGGGTTCTGAGAAGTGCGAGAAGCTACCGAGGAGGAGAGGAGGGCAGAGCTCAGGGAGCAGGCAGGGCCGACTGGGTCTGGCTGTTCCAACTGAGGGACCTCAGCGGGAGCCCATGGGGTGGGTGGCTCGGGGCTCCCCTGCCTGCTTGTGGAGGAGCCGGCCCGGAGCCGGAGGGCTGGCTGAAAGTACAAGTTTGACTAGAGGTGTGTGCCCACGTGGGGGCATCCCAGCACGGCGCTCGGGTGGGCCTGGTGGCCCCTGGCAGTGGAGCTGCGCACACCCGCCCAGGTTTCGCTGGCGCAGCAGAGCACAGGGCGGTACTGCTGGGGCGTGTGTGGGTCTCCGGGGCAGTGGCTGTTGCACCGTTTTTCTTCACGTGCAGGTCTGCCCTGGACAGGGGCCTCGGGTCAGTGTGCCTCTAGCTTCCCCACCCCGCAGCAGGCACCCAGGGGGAGGGCAACGCATCGCCTTCCTGTGGGTGCCCAGGACAAAATGCAGATCGCAGGAGTGGGGCCCCAGGGGTCTGGGAGTGGGAGGGGCAGAGAGTTGGGGGGTGAGGGCTCTGGCCCGGCGTGCAGGCTCTGGGGTGGGGCTGGGGATGAGGGTTAGGGTTAGGGTTAGGGTTAGGGTTAGGGTTAGGGTTAGGGTTAGGGTTAGGGTTAGGGTTAGGGTTAGGGTTAGGGTTAGGGTTAGGGTTAGGGTTAGGGTTAGGGTTAGGGTTAGGGTTAGGGTTAGGGTTAGGGTTAGGGTTAGGGTTAGGGTTAGGGTTAGGGTTAGGGTTAGGGTTAGGGTTAGGGTTAGGGTTAGGGTTAGGGTTAGGGTTAGGGTTAGGGTTAGGGTTAGGGTTAGGGTTAGGGGTAGGGTTAGGGTTAGGGTTAGGGGTAGGGTTAGGGTTAGGGTTAGGGGGGGTAGTGGTGGTATCAAGAGGGGTAGGGGTGGTGGTGGTATCAAGAGGAACAGGGGTGGTGGTGGTATCAAGAGGAACAGGGGTGGTGGTGGTATCAAGAGGAACAGGGGTGGTGGTGGTATCAAGAGGAACAGGGGTAGTGGTGGTATCAAGAGG